AAAATGTATGTAGAAGAGGTTCTGAAAGTTGTTCTTCAAGATAGTTTAGCTAAAGTGAAAGGAAGATGTGATAAAATAAAAGCTGAATATAATATCAAAGGAACTACCAAAAATTCTAGCAGAATTCAGAAGAGGACATGTTGTTGTTAGGTGCCTTCACATCAGCTCTGACTCACTATGGCCCTGTGCAGGATAGAATGAAACACTGCCCAGTCTTGTACCATCCTCATAATTGTTGCCATGCTTGAGCCATCATCACAGCCACTGTGTCTATCCATCTCATTGAGCAGCTTCCCCTTTCTCATTAGCCTTCTACTTTACCAAACATTATATCTTTCTCTGGGGACTGATTCCTTCTGATAACATGACAAAAGTATGTGCAATGAATTTTCTGGCCATTCTTGCTTCTAAGGAGCATCCCAGTTGTACATTTTCCAGGATAAATTTGCCCATTCTTCTGGTATCCCATGGTATTTTCAGTATTCTTCACAAACACATTTCAAATGCATCAATTCTTCATTTGTTTTCCACATTCATTGTCCAGCTTTCACAGGGATATGAGGCTACTGAAAATACCAAGGTTTGGGTCAGGCATACTTTAGTCTTCAAAGTGACATCTTTGTTCTTAAACATTTTAGAGAAGTGGGAAAGAGAAGAACCTCAGTGAGATCAATTGAGACAGTGGCTACAAAAATAGGCTCAAATATAGCAAATATTGCTAAGATGCTAAGGACTGGGCAGTGTTTCATTTTATTTTACTTAGGGTTACTATGAATTAGAACCATCTCAAAAGTACTCAACAACACCAGACGACTTAACTATACCAGTTTATTTTAGTCAGTGCATCATTCCCAGCTTTCAACAATAACAACTACAAGAAAAATTAAGATGCACTAAAAGATAAAATCAAAAACGGAAACCAAAAAAGCAATCTGCCTATTCCATCAAAACCAGACTCAGTTATCATACAGTGTTTGAAAAAATGAAGCTGGGTATTTTAAATAACTATAATTATTTATGGGAGCTCTGGTAGCAAAGTGCCTAGCACTTGACTGCTAACCAGAAAGCTGGTGGTTCAAACCCACCAGCCACTCCTCAGAAGGAAGGTTGGACAATCTACTTCCATAGTGATACCACCTTGGAAACCCAAGAAGGGATCGCTATAAGTTGGGTCTGAATTGACTGCACATAACAACAACATGATTATTTATAGACCAGATACTTGTGGAGTGGCAGGATATCCAGGGGAAAGGGGCAGGAGGCAAGGCTAGGCCCCAAGCCCCCTAGAGAAAGGAAAGGGAGGGACAGGCACAGACCACAAACTGGCAGGTTCCAGGTAGGAATTAGATAAGGGGAGGGCAAGAGGTTCCAGCAGCTAAGGGAGA